AGCTTACTGTTCCATTTACCTCCTATCAGACCTCCCCAGTTATTATGGACATCTACCCCTCTGGATCCTTAGCTAAAATAGACTCTTTCTTCTATAGATTGGTTTTGGCCATACATTTTTATCACACCAACAGAAAAGCAACCAATACTAAACTACTTTTCAAAATGGTTCAAACATCCTTTTGTTTTAATGTTTCTGGCCAATGAAAGTTAGCCTTTCTTCTTGGATGTTTTAGATGGAATATCTATTCAGTCCTCAATAATCTTAAAGTATTTATCTGGAAAAGTTAGGATTTAAACAAATTGATTTCCTTTATAGAATGTACACATTTCTATTTTTCCTTCTTTAAAAAATTCACCCATTTCCTGATGATTATTCCCCCGGTTATATTTCTCTCTTTCCAGTGCTCAAATTCTGTATGTGATCCATTTTGGGGCGGGTTTTGATTCTTTGCACTTGTTCACAGCTTGTCCCTCTTTATGCACTTTACACTGACATCTTTAGGGTTACCACAGGTGGGCAGAATGTCCATATCCTTGCTTGCCTATGTTACATGTTTCATTGTGTCACTTTGTGTTATAGGATGTGAGGGAGGTAACAGAAAAAGATACCCGCTGTGTCATGGTGGTGAAAATTTAATGACTGGCTTTGCAAGAGGGGAAACGCCTCAATCATTGCTTTTGCTAATTTCCATCATATAAATACTCCCAACCTAGATGATTTTAATCCATTAATTTAATACTAAACATACACACATATGTGTGTGTGTGTATATATATATATATAAAACTAGCTATGTGGGGCTGTGGAACTGACTCCAGGCAAGCCACTAGATATCCTTTTGAGTCAGCTGGGTCCCACTGTTTTTGGCATCATGAATACCGTTCTATACTCTGACTCTACTCTCTCTCCATCCTTTGCTTCTGGATCTTACTTGTATCTACTATAGTACACTTAACAGAAGTTTAAATTTCCACCCCCATTTTCTCTTCTTTGACATTTTCTTCTATTCACATGTTTTTCTTCATCACTGTGACATGAATGATATTCAATTCTTGACTGCTTTCAAGTCATTTGTCCATTCTAAGTTCTTTTCAGATAGCCCTTGTCCATTATCTCACATTCCATAGAGCTAAAAAAAGCTTCTTTATCTTGCCTCTATTAAAAGTTTGCATATTTTCCACTGTATACTACTAAAAAGTATTACACGCAAACTATAATATGGGTACTTCTTGGGGTACCTTATTGAAGAGACAAGACTTGGAAATTATTATACATACTTTATAGCTTAAAAATCCAAAGCTCAAACTGAACTATCAAATAAGCAATGGAACCTAGATGTGAACATAGGACCCTGGCAGTAAAACCTACTTTCCTTCTTTACAGCATATCACTCCCCATCCAATGGCAAGATCATGTCTTATAGCAGGAGAGGTGGCTCATCAGTTAAGAGTATTGGCTGTTCTTGAAGAGTACTGGGCTTGGCTCCCAGCACTCACATAGTGGCTCACAACCACTTATAACTCCAGTTCCAAGGAATCCAAAACCCTCTTCTGTCCTCTGAGGGTGCCAGTCACACACATGGTCCACATATATACGTACACATAGAACAAAATAAAACCTTAAAAAATAGAGAAGGTCCTGTGTTTCTCACATTGATTGATGCAAGTCAGTTGAGAGGTATAATTTTTGTAATTATTAATTATCAAGTCTTGTCTGTTTATCCATTGTACTAATGTTTGTTCAACTGTCTGCCTTGTTCCTATATCTAAGCACCATGCTTATTCCTCATTTTGTGCCTTGCTGGAACAAATTTTTTTGCAGGGATATGTATCCAGTAAATCTTGACTTAGCAAGTAAAATAATTAGTGGACAAACATGTATTTACCATATTTATGCTGTATGTGATGGTATTTTTCTACCATCTGGGTTGAAATCCACTAGTGATTTTGTATATAGCAAATCAGATTTTATACTGAAGAAATATGCAGGCTTAATTTGCTATATTGAAGAAAAACCTGGATGGAAAATCTCATTCATATTTTAGTTCAAATCAGGGAAGTAATCTATGCCCTTGTATTTCCAGCCTAACACTCTCATACCCATTTCTGTCTGGATATGATTTAGACTTCAGGGACCATCAAATGAATTTAAGGCAATAACCTCCCTTACATTTCTGATTAATTTAGGTACTCCTGGGAGCTTTCTTTGTACTTTCAGAAGACTTACATAGAGATCAGACCTCAACAGTCAATCCATGTTTCTCTGAATTGCCAGTGCTGGTTGCACTATTCTGTGTTCTGTACGAACTGTCTATGTGAAGGGGTTATGTAGTACTCTGTACAAGTGCATGGAGAGATGTAGGCTCTAATTTATGCATCACCTGAGTATATTTCCAGTCTCTTAACAGCACAGAGAAGTCTATTCATGTCTGAACACACCTTGGGGCTTTTCTGTATACGCTAATTTACCTTGCCCAGCAAGGCATGCCATGCAGAGCTTGTCTGCCTGGGAAAGTCAGTGGGGTGGTTTAAACTGCCCATGAGTATAAAAGCACTTGTATGTGCAGCACAGTAAAGAACTCTGAAATTACCCATTTGAAATCCCCAACAGATACCTACGTTCTATTTCATTTTATGCTAATCTTCTGCTCTATCATCTTTTACTCACTGCTGTCAGTTACTGCCTATTGTAAATATTTCCAAATACATTTCTTTTCCCAACTCAGTCACAAAGTGACTTAGAACAGTCTGAGGGACTGTTAAATATACATAACAATTATATAAACAATACATGACAAATAGAAAAGTATTATCCCAACTAGTTGAGTATTAGTGATTGAATGGATTCAATATAGAATATAAGTTCAGAGCATGAAGCATCCACAGTGACTAATCTACCTTTTCAGTGCATCTCTGCATCTAAGCACTGACAGTGGAGATAGAGCCCTAACAAGATTCTATTAATGTGGCTCAATTTGTCTGCCTTGCTGAATGACTACTTAATACCGGTTGTGTGGGTAGTTTGTGTTCAACGGAAACCTTCAGAAAATAGGACACCCCCCGGCATTATTTCAGTAGCAGAAGATACAATTTCCCAAAAAACGGGATAGGTGATGGTAAAGCTTATATCCAAAACTCTAAGGTAGAGGTTCTCAACCTTCCTAATTCTGTGACCCTTTAATACAGTTTCTCATGTTGTGGTGACGCCCAATCATTAAATTATTTTTGTTGCTGCTTCATAAGTGTAATTTTGCTACTGTTATGAATTGTAATGTAAATATCTGTACTTTTCAATGGTCTTTAGGGGGTTGTGATCCACAGGTTAAGAACTGCTGCACTAAGGTGACTTCTGCTTCTGTGTCATATACCTTACCATGACATAACTTTGACAATTACACTTCATTCTCTATTTTACAAAATTAGCCTTTGCAAGAGAAGAGAGGGGATAGGTGTTCATGTCTCCTCAGAAATGCCAAATTGCATTGTTACTTGAACAAATAACATCACATTACCCTTTGAGCTTTTTCATGTGGACTGAAGCAAAGCATAATGGTATCACTTAGAGATTTAATTCTTCCCACTTCAATTATAGACTATACGGGTGATAGTGGATGTAAGTGGAAAAATTATATCCAATTACATGGAATGTTGATGTTAATGGAGGCACCATTTTTAGAAAGCAATTCTGTGTAATAGTAAGCTCAAAGTCTGTGATTTTAACATTTTATAAGTGATAGAATTACAAATAAGTTAATTTGGTAAGCCCAAATAAATAATGAGTACTAAAGTTTATGTTCTAAATATTCAAAGCGTGTGTGTATGTCTTGTTATTTTCTAGATTAAATTCTTGTTAACCTGTGTATATATCTGTGTTCTTCCATTTGTCTTATTTGGTTTGCCTTTGTCTTCATTCCCTCTGAGCCTGTTGCCTTGGTAACCATCACGTACTTGCTTATATGTGAAGCTCTCCTTTGACGTACATTTATTTCTATGGAAACAGTGATGTCATTGGTGTGGGCAGGTGCTCAGGGGAAGCAAAGTAAAAAAACATAGAATACTGATCTTTCTTTGGATCATAAAATGTACAATGAAAGTAAGTTTTTGAGTTAAAGAACTATTATTTTTGTTTTTATTTTGATTTGATCATCAAGCTACAGTTTTCCTTATGGATAGATTTGCTGGAATAGAATGAATTAAAAATGCAAAACATATTGGATAGCATATTATTGTAATATGTAGCATCACAGAACTCAACACAAATACATATATGTAAAAAACTTTAATCTTAAAAGTCAGAGAATTAGCCGGGCGGTGGTGGCGCATGCCTTTAATCCCAGCACTTGGGAGGCAGAGCCAGGCGGATCTCTGTGAGTTCGAGGCCAGCCTGGGCTACCAAGTGAGTCCCAGGAAAGGCGCAAAGCTACACAGAGAAACCCTGTCTCGAAAAACCAAAAAAAAAAAAAAAAAGTCAGAGAATTAAAAGTTTATCTCAATACTGTTATTATAAAACAATATGGTGCTGACAAGATGTCTCAGTTGATAAAGGGGCTTGCCATGAAATTTGACAACTGAGTTTCACCCCTGGAACCCACATGGTAGGAGAAAATTCACTCCATCAAGTTATCCTCTTACTTCCACATACATCTATGGCATACATTCACCCCCCAACACACACACAATAAATAAATACACAAATAATAAAATGTAAAATTCAAATTATGCAAGGAATTTTATATTAACATCAAGGCAATGTACACTAAACAGTGGATCAAGAAAAAAAGTCCATACTTTTTAACCATTATATTTTGCAAAAAACACTCTAATATTAGAAACACAGGGATATAAGAAATGATAGTGATTATTTTTCTAAATCAGAAAGTTCACATAATAGGCATTCCATTTTATTTTGTCTTTAACATTTAAAAAATCTCTCTGTTTCTGTCTCTCTCTGTCTGTTACTTGTCTGTTATTCACTTCATTCTATTTTTTCTTTTATAGACAATATGGAAACCTGCTTATGATTTTCTGTATGCTTGGAGCACTCACTATGGAAATAGCTATAGAGATGTGTTACAAGACCTTCAATCAGCTTTGGACAGAATGAAAAACCCTGTCACCAAACGGTGGAGAGACTTAACTGGAACTTTAATATTAGTAAATTCTTTAGAGGTTTTAAGAGTAACTGCTTTCACTACTTCTCAAGAAATATAGAATGAAGCAAGTTTGCGGAGCAAGGAAAATGGTAAGGGAGAAAGAGTGTGTGTGTGTGTGTGTGTGTGTGTGTGAGAGAGAGAGAGAGAGAGAGAGAGAGAGAGAGAGAGAGAGAGAGAGAGAGAGAGAGAGAGAGAGAGAGAGAGAAGGAGGGATAGAGAGAGGGAGGGAGGGAGGGGAGATGAACTCATAAAAATGTCTTGCTTTCTTTGTGTTTGGAAAACCATGTTTTACCTTGAGAAACAAAGCCTGGAACTCTTAGCAAGAATGGATTTTATAATCAAACCTTTTTTTGTATGTGGTGCAAAGGTAAACAGTAAAATACTCTGTTGTTGAGATGGAAAGAAAAGCCCTTCTCTCTTCTTCAATGTTTATTCTGTTTTCTAAAGTTAAAACATGAGTGTTCAAATAATAACATAAAGATGATACCTCAATAAACTGGAGGATTTAACATGGGCAGCTATCATGAGGCAGAGAAATAGGAGTGAAGACACTTGACCCTTCAAAGGCTGCATGCCTTCTGTACAGCGATCTGTATTCTTCAATGGAGTCAGTCAGCATTGCTCCCATGTTCTATGTGCAGAAATCAAGTGTGGAAGAGCATCCACAGTCAGTGTAAAGTAGGTTTTCTACCTTAAAAGACTGATTCAATTTTTTGAAAAATCATGCCACATAGCAGAATAGCAAGAAGGAAAAAAAATAGGAATGCATACTGAGAAATGAAGCTTGTTCCTCTTTTTCAACATTTCTTGAATAATTACTGGAAAATATGACACCTTCAGAAAAACTGTTTTCAGACATAGACTAGGAGTTTTCATCAGCTTCCTTCAGCATCTTGGAACTATATGTTATCCTACCTAATTTGAAGTTTTCTCCCATGATCAGAATGAAAAATAATTCTTTAGCCATCACTATTTAATACTGAGTTATTACAAATAATTACTATCACCAAAACACTTTCAGTCCTAAAATACTGACATTTGTGTGTATGCTCACATGAAGACATGCACTGTGTGTGTGTGTGTGTGTGTGTGTGTGTGTGTGTGTGTGTGTGTGTGTGTGTATGAACATATCCCAGAGTGTATTACAAAGCTTGTGGAAGACAAGGCTAATGTGAGACCTTGAGTCAGTATAGCTATTAATGATTGGCAGAGTTGACAAAAATTGTCTCTGTCCAGCAGTCCCGTGGTTGCCAACATTTATGTGCTTGGACCTTCCTTTACTTATTGGATTTCTCTTAAGGGAGAGTGAATCTAATATAGGCACAAAGCTGCTTGAGATGTAAGATAATAATGAGGAAGATGATAATGAGCATGATTCCTGGCTTCAGTGCTATTAATGACAGGGATGGGCAATAAAACAATGACATCAATACTGTAAAATGGCATCTACAATGACATCTGCAGTGGAGAAACTGTGATGCTGGAACAGAGGCTGTCATATGAATGGAGAAGAGAGTAGATTGAAAAACAAATGATAAGCCAAGCATTGCACCTGATGTTGGCAGGGTAGGAGGATGGGAACTAGGAATCAGTGGATCCTTCAGACAGTGGATAGTTCCAGGTTGAAGGGGACAGAGGGACAGGGTGATGAGTAAAAGGGTAATGTAAGGAGGTAAAGGTGAAAGGACAGGAGTGAGGGTAGACGGGGAGGAGGCTACATTCAGGCCACTAAACCCTTTAGGACGTAAGAAGGAATGATGCATCTCAAGGGTAATTTGGAGAAACTGAATAAAGTTTTGTTTGTGGATTTCTGAATAAAACATGGTCCATTTGGCTAGAAACTAAAAGCACAATCATTTTAGAGCTTTTAATACTCCCACCCTATGGTATTTGATATGCTGGCAAAGGTAATTTGAACTAGTGTTTAGAACAATCTTAAAGGCTTTCATTATTTATTTGATGATAAGATAACAGTCTGTCCAAGGGCTTGCTTATAGATGCATATTCAAGGACAGAATTTTAGTTGAAAATAAATTCAAAGAGAGGAAAGAAAAAAAATCAGCCAATTTGTTAGCCTAGGGCACAATGACTTGAAGTAATGACTTTGCTTCCTTTAGAACACTGTTGTTATTTTATTAATGTGTCAGCAAACTTGAAAATTTTGCATCAAGGTAGTGAGGATTTAATTACTGTTTTGTTTTGTTTTTTTAAACAGGCAACAAAGACCAAGAAGACAGACAGCTTGTTAGCTGATCCATGTAGTAAGATTAAAAACAACAACAACATGCGTGACAGTTGTATAGCTTGGTCTTCTTGTGGGACTCCTGACCGTGGGAGCAGGGGCTGTTTCTGACTCTTTTGCTTAATACAAGGAGAGGTGCTTAGTCTCACTGCAACTTGATATGCCATGTTTTGTTGCTATCCACGGGAGGCCTGCCCCTTTCTAAATAGAAACAGAGGAGGAGCGGGTTGGTTGGGGCACAGAGGGTGTGTGTGTGTGGAGGGGGACTGGGAGGACAGAAAGGAGGGGGAACAGCAGTTGGGCTGTAAAATAAATAAATTAATAAATATTAAAAAGCAAAACAAAACACTTTAGGTTTGTACCTTATCATGCTTTGAGAATGTAATTGGGAATTTTAAGCAGTTTAGAAAATGAAAACCATCTTGGTAATTTAAGGATGGAACACTGATTTAAATATTAACATACACATAAAACTGGTGATCTCTTATATTCTTCCAAGGGCATTTTAAACTCATGTCCAATCTGTTCTTTTAAATTTGTTCCTATATATTTTTATAAATTGTTCCTACTTTTCTGCATTTTATAATATCCTTGCTGTGATGAATTTTCCTAATCAGAATAGATTAATTCAGTAATCACAAATTGCCTTTTCTACTTGGCAAAAAGTCAATGGAATTAATAAGGCTCTTACAGTCTCTCTTTGACATCACTAAAGTATCAAAAGCTATTAATCTAAAACTTCTCCAAGCATTGAAAAAATGGAAATAGATTAGATGGTCCTTTTGGTTCCTTAGGCTTTTCATTTAATGATGCACAAATCAGCATGGGATTCCAGTTCAGTCTGGAGTTCAGAATGTGACCATTGTTCTTTGTAGTTCCCGGATTCTTGACTTCTTTTTTCAAAGGGCTTCACATGAGTCCACCAGGGGATTCCTTCAACAATGTACCACTAACTGTTTATATCAATCACAGAAACAGCACATTTTTATGTCATGTAGCTAATACTGTGTAAATTGTGTACTTGTAGATAGCTAAGTATGTAGAATAATGAATCAATGGATGCCACTGAACAGAGAAAAGGTACTGATAGTAAACAGCTTTGAATGTATGTGACATGAGTTTCTGTGGTAGTTTGAATAACTATGGCCCCCACAGACTCATGTGTTTGAATGCTTGCCCCATAGGAAGTGGCACTATTAGGAGGTGTGGCCTTGTAGGAGTAGGTGTGGCCTTGTTATATAAAGTGTGTCACCATGGGGACAGGCTTTGAGGTCTTATATGCTCAAGCTAAGCCCAGTATGACATACAGTCTCCTTCTGCTACCTGCAGATCACAATTTAGAACTCTCAGCTCCTTTTCCACCACCATGTCTGCCTGCATGCTGCCGTGCTTCTTGCCATAATGATAATGGACTAAACCTCTGAAACCGTAAGCCAGCCCCAATTAAATATTTTCCTTTATAAGAGTTGCTGTAGTCATGGTGCCTCTTCACAGCAATAGAAACCTATTTAAGTTTCCAAACTTTAATTTTTAGACCATACTGTTGTACATAAAATATTTGGTGACTTTTTGATGCCTAAAGAATATTTGAGGGCATATAAGAGAATAGTAAAAATTTAAGTCAGTTTAGGTTTTTGAAATTAAAATAGATTTTCTACTGTTTATACAAACACAAAATAGCCTGTAACATTTACAGTCTCTGGGACCTCACTGGCCAACAATTCCACACCAAAAAGGTAATTCACTCCATGGACTAAGTTTTTTATTTGTGCATTGTCACCCTATTATGGGCAATTGCATTTTAACTCTGTGTGTGTGTGTGTGTGTGTGTGTGTGTGTGTGTGTGTATGCTTTAAGAAATTTCTACAGCAATAGGTTTACATCTGACTTTTTCAAAAGGTCTTTAATGTCAGTTTCCCTTCCTCATATTCCTTCTACTATTCTGTCCTCCAAACCCACAGCCCATTTAACTCTTATTTCATTATTCCCCTTAGACCATTATACCATTGTGTTCTGTCTCCTTTCACCCGAAAGACCCTCTTCTCACAGCCCCTATCATAGTTTTTATTTTATTGCTGTGTAAAGACACCATGGATAAGGCAGCTTATAAAATAAAACATTTAATGGGGGGCTTGTTATAATTTCAAGTGCTTAATCCATGGCCCGCATGGTGGGGAGCATGGTGGCAGACAGGCAGGCATGGTTCTAGAGAAAAAGTAGCTATGAACTTACATTCTGATCAACAGAAAAGAGGCATTTAGAGAGTGAGATATTTGGGCTCTTGAAACCCCAAAGCTCACCCTCCCAGTGATGCATCTCTTTCAACAAGCCATGCCCCCTAATATTTCCTAAGTAGTACACCAACTGGGAACCAAACATCCAAATGTATGAGCCTTTTCTTATTAGAACCATTACATTCTACACCCAGGCCCCCATAGACCTGTAGCCATATCATGATGCAAACTGCATGTAGTCTAACTTTAAAAGTCTCTGTTATCTTTCACAGTCTCAACACCATTTAAAAGTCCAAAATTTCTTCTGAGATTCAAGGCCATCTTATAATCACCTATAAAATCAAAATCAAATTACATATGTCCAACATACAATGACATAGAATATACATTATCATTCCAAAAGGAAAGAAAGGTGGCATTGTGAGGAAGTCTTGGACCAAAACTAGACTGAAAACCAGTAGGGCAAACTCCAAACCCTGCATTTTCATGTCTGATGATAATGGGCTTATTAGATGCCAGCTTTGCCAACAGCAGCACACTTCTTTCTCTCTTGGGTGGTTCAGCTTCCTGTATGCAACTCTCCTTGGCAGGTATCCCACAGCTCTGGCATCTCCAATCCCTTGGTGTCTCCAACTCAGTTCAGGCTTTACTTTCACAGCTTCACTCAATGGCTTTTCTGGGCCTCTATGAAGGGACTCCTCTGCCACACATCTGGTCTCAGCAGCTTTCCTTAATCCCGGAGGAAGATTCCACAGCACCTTTACACCTGTAATTTTCTTGATAAAGCCAGAGCTACTGGTTAAGGCTGCCAAATTATGCTGCCCCCTGGGATTGAAACCTGGCCCCCTCCATGACTCATATTTGCATGAACTTTGACTTATTCATAGTCTCCTTTGTTGAATAAGCTTTGCTTTTCACAGCTTGGAAGTTTAGCTGGGTAGGGTCTTGCCCTGAGGGTACCACTCCCTTTATTCCATCTAGCATCAGGGTTTTCTTTTAAACTTTTCTTCTACTTGAACACAGGACATGGCTCCAATTTACATTTACTGGTACTCTTTTTCTCCTCAAACTGTACATTTTGCATTTCTTTTAACCCTACTTGCTCTTTTTCATTGTAGATCTGTACAAAGTAATTTGCATAAAAGTAATTATATAAAAGTAATCACTAACAACTGCATGATGCATTCAATACTAGGTTACCTTGAAATTTTCTCTGCCAATGATACTAGTCTAAAAGTCTTCAATTTAGCCTCTGGCATATTTTTTTTTTTTTTTTTTGGACACGGGCAGAAAGCAGACACATTCTTTGCCAAAACATCACAAGACTGATCTCTAATATTTTTCTCCTTGAAAACCACTTGATCTGGGCCTCCATTAGTTACATTGCTCTCAGCACCACTGTCTCCATGTTCCTACTAGGATGGATTATTAAGCCTCACTTACGGCATCCAACCACTTTTCTAGTCAAAAGTCTTGAAGTGATATTTCTGCAAAAAACAGCATGGTTACAACATTACCCCAGTCCCTTATACCAATTTCTGTCTTAGTTACTGTTCTATTGTGAAGAGACACCATGACCAAGGCAACTTACTATAAATGAAAGCATTTAATTGGGGGGCTTGCTTAAAGTTTCAGAGTTAGTCCATGATTCTCATGGTGGGGAGTGTGAGGGCTAGCAGGCAGTCATGGCACTGAAGCAGTAGCTAGTTAAGAGCTCATATCCTAATCTACAGGAAGCAGGCACAGAGAGAGAGAGCGCAAGAATGGGCCTGTCTTAGGCTTTTGAAACCTCAAAGCCTGCATCCGCCAGTGACACACCTCCTCCAAGAAGGCTACACCTTCTAATCCTTCATGAACAGTTCCATCAAGTGGGACACAAGCATTCAAATATATGAGCTTATGAGAGCCATTTTCATCCAAATTACCACAGCTCCATACTAGTTTCCTGACCTCTATGGGTATTCCAAGTGAAACACACAAATCTGAAGATTCAAAGCTAACATCCTTAAATGAAAGAAAATATGACATTGATATTTCTGGATTTGTGCTACCTCACTCAGAATGATTGTTTACAGATCCATCCATATACCTGTAAATTTTTATTAACAGCTGAGCAATATTCCATTGTGTAAATTTACCACATTTCCATTATCTATTCATCAGTTGATGGACATCTATATTGTTTTCATTTCCTGGCTATTCTGTATAGAGCAGCAATGAATATGAATGAGTAGATATCTCTGTAGTATGAAACAGAGCCCTTTAAGTATATGTCCAGCTGCTGGTATATATATATATATATATATATATATATATATATATATATATATATATATATATAAAATCTTTATGAGGAGCCTCTACACTGATTTCCATAGTGGTCTGTACTAGTTTACACTCCTTCAAGCAAGGAATAAGTGTTCCCCTTTCCTCTACATACATGCATATATATGTATATATGAGAGAGAGAGAGAGAGAGAGAGAGAGAGAGAGAAAGAGAGTCTTTGTTGTTATGACTGGGGTAAGATGAGCTCTCAAACTAATTTTACTTGAACTTACTGGAAAGGGAAAGGACTTTCTGAACAGTATCCTGATAGTGCAGGCATTACAGCTTTACATTTCCCTGATGGTTAAGGTTGTTAAATATTTTTGAAAATGATTTCAGCCATTTATATTTTATCTTTTGAGAACTCTGTTTAGTTTCATGCCCCATATTTTATAATTATTTTTATGTTTAGTTTTTTTAAGTTCTTTGTATATTCTAAATACTAATCCTCTTTATTTGTCAGACATATAGCAACTGAAGATTACTTTTCCCCATTCTTTAGGCTGCCTCTTTATGCAAATAAAGGTGTCCTTTGCTGTACAGAAGATTTTTAGTTTCATGAAGTCCCATTTACTAGTTGGTCTTAATGCATGCACTACTGGGTTCTGTTCAGGATTTAGTGTTTGGATTTCTCAAGGATGAATTTGATACCACTTAAGACTGCTTTTCTGAACTGTGAAGAAACACCATGTCTTGGTGGTTTGAATATAAATGGACCCCAAAGCCTCATAGATTAGAATGCTTAGTCACCAGGGAGTGGCACTATTTGAAAGGATTAGAAGAACTAGTTGGTGTGGCCTTGTTGAAGGAAGTATGTTACTAGGAACACACCAAGCCCACAGTCTCTCTCTGTCTGATATGAATGTAGTTTTCAGCTACTGTTCCAGCACCTGCCTGCATGCCTCCACACTCCCCACCATGATACCATGATGATAGATGGACTAAACTTCAGAAACTGTAAGCAAGCCCCCAAATAAATGCTTTCTCTTGTAGTAATTGCCTTGGTCATGGTGTCTCTTCACACCAATAAAACAGTGACTGTTACTCTACCTACAGCAAGTAGCAGCCCCATGTTAAAGTTGTCATTTAGCATTCTTTGCAGGGCTATTCTCTTAGAATGTCTATTCAAATTGGTATAAGAATAAAGAATGTGTATTTTATAAACTGAAATCCCCGAGGAACTTTCAATCGTCCAGTGTTCTGGGCTTAAAATATGTGACTCAGCTAATATGTTTGGTCTTGTTTGATTTTTTTTCTCCTCTGTTTTTATTTGCAAATTTCACTCTGGAGCTCCCCTAAACCTGTGGAACAGTTCTAGGTTCACCCTTCATTGCCTCCATGTAAACAGCACCCTCATACTTAAATTTCAGTTTCAAGGTGCTCTGGTCTTGCAGTGTACCAACTTGGCTACACTATGCAATGTTTTCTAGCATCTTTTGCTCTGATTGGTCTGGCAACAAAAGACATCTGGGTTAGATTTAAAAGGTAACCATAGTGCCCCAGATATTCTAGTCTCTGCTTCAGCTTGTCGACAGAGGGCAGCTGAATAACCTGCAACAACATTTTCCTAGAATCCCCTGCTTTCCATTCTCCCAACCCCAGTCAGGAGTGAATACTACAAGCTTTTCACAGCAACAGGGCTCAAGGAGAGACTAACCTAGGTGCTGATGCCCAACAACTCTCAGCAAATTCTTAACCACTTTTCTTTCTTTTAATCTGACTTAAGGCTAGAGCTGGAAGGGCCAGAGGAGACTGACTAGCATTCACAAGCATGTCAGTGGATGGACCTTTTAGGTTTAACACCCATTCCTCAGCCAGTCTCTGGGGGTTATAATTTGTGGTTTTCTTTGATAGGCCTGACCTCAATCACCTGCTAATTCATTGATACCCCATCCACACTTCCAGGTCAAGAGTGGAAATCATTGGTCACCAGGTGGAAATGGGATCATTTCCTAGAAACTCGAAGAAGTAGATGGTAGGCAGTCAGTTTTTATACTAAAATTACTTCTAAAAATGTGATGTGAGATTAATCTTGGCAACCTTTCCCCTTCAAGTCTAATTTTAAAAACTCATCTTCTGAGTCCTGTATCCAGGACTGGGCAATGGGCCTGCTTCTGTCAACTTTTTGCACTAAATCATTGATAACTAAACAGAATTCCACAGACCATTTCTGCCCTCTGTATGCCAATTTATAAACTGTCCATTATAGGACAGAATCACATGAAACCTCCTGGAGGCTACGGTGTATTTGGGTCATGAGACCAGGAGTAAATCTCCTATTACTTTGCAGGCCCTATCACTATGTAGACACACTTCTCCTGCTGTTAAAAAGAAAGCGCTGGACACAGAGGGAGAGGAAGATGCTCCCAGAATACCAGCTCAGAAAAGAGCAAAGGTAGGATCAAATGTCTTGACATCTCACAGATCCCATGGAACATTTCCTGAATAAAATTAGGAAGCAGATCCAAGGCTAGTTGTTTTTTCCACTGTTCTCATCCGAGATTTCTCTGAAGATGATTATCACCACTTATGAATATGTAATAACCATAAATGCCACCCAAAGACCAAGTAGAATAGGAATAATCACTGAAATGAATTAGATGGCTTTAAGACACCTTTGAAAAAAGAGCAAAATGAAAGAAATATTTCAGGCAAAGATGCCGTTCATTTTTAAATGTATGTCAGCTTTACTAAGATATAATTCATATATCATTTAATCCACCCATCTGTTTATTTTTAAAAGCCCACCATCATTTTCCTTTGTGTTTAGTTCCCATTAAATGTTTGTTTAATTATAGTCTAATTTACTCTGCACAGATCAATGCTGTTCAGGAAGGAGACATGTTATGCTTTTCAATGTTGGGTTGAATGCTATGAAATAATAGAAGCTGAACAAGGTCATTCATGAGAGGAAGAGGAGTAGATACTCCTGTATTTTGAAAGATATTTTCAGGTAATCTCCGCTCCACTTTTCACACTCTTAGACAACCTTAGTATTTCTTTTCATTTGGATTTCAGAGAACTTACTTTGTGCTATAAAGTTCTGAGCCCATTGCTATAATCCTACTGAAAGCAGCAAATCTGCTCGCCCTTGCTTTCTGCCTTAAGACAGGTTTTAAATTAATTGTTTAGACCAATTAGTAAATCCCATGTTTATTTATGAAAATATCACATTAGTCTGGTAAGACTACCATATGAAAGTACCATAGACTGAGTTAATCAAACAACAGAAATTTATGTCTTCCATGTTCTAGGAGTGAGAAATAAGATGAATGTTGTGTCAAGGCTTGTTCTTTGTGAGGGGGTGAGAGAAGAATTTGCTTTGGGCCTTTCTCTTCAGATGCTATCTTCTCCATTTGTTTTTCCAAGATCATTGCTCCATGCACATGCCATGACCTGAACCTCTTTTAAAAAAGGATTCCATTGTGCTGGATTAACATTGGCTCTGTGTCCATCCTGATCTCATTATCTAATCAAAGTCTGCCCTCTATCTCTAAGACTATCACATTCTTAGGATCAAGACAAATGTACCACATGAATAATGCTGAGCACAATTCAGCCCCAACAAAAATGAATTGGCAGAATTTTTGTTTGTTTGTTTTAGTTACTGTAATTAATTACCTTGGTCAAATGAATTTTACTACAAGTGAGCACTATGCTGCTACTGCTGCTGCTGCTGCTGCTGCTGCTGCTGCTGCTGCTGCTATCGCCAAAAAATCAACAATGGCTGAAGAACCACTCAGAACCCCAGAATGACAGAGCTGGCCAATCTCAACAGCTGGAACTGTTTCTGCATCAGTTTTTAACCTCCAGCATGCTGTCTAGCCAGACTCTGCTTATTAGAACTAATGGTAAGCCATAGCTAATGCATATTTGTAGGTGATGACTAATGGCTCTTTTTGTTGTTCTGTTATAATCTGAGTGCTACAGAAAATCAGTGGCTTATTGAATTTTTTTGTTTGTTTGTTTTAAGATGGTATTGCTATGCTATCCAGGCTATAGTCAAACCCCAGCATTCAGTGTGGTGTGTTGTTTTAGCAAGCAGAGAAAGAAGACAGTTTGAAAAGAGACTGGGTGCCATGGGTAGGAACTTAGATTTGAATATGAACCCCTTTGGTTATATTTATTTTAACTGGTGAACCCTGAGATGCCTGGGGGAAAATGTCTCTATTGAGCAAACCAAATCCATTGGGGGCTTAGATGTCTTGGAAAGACAATGAGCAATGAAAGGACATCCTGGTCTTAGAAGAAGTTAGTAGATCAAGCCAAACTGAGAACTTTGATATGAGAGACAGAGTGCCTCCCCTCACTACAGACCCCTTACAATATAATTGTGGTAAGCAACTGGAGAATGAGAGGTTGCTGCTTGGTTTTTGTCAACTTGATGCAAACCTAGACATATCTGGGAAGAGGGAATTGTAACAGAAAATGCCTCCATAAGATTAACCTGTAGGCAAACCTGTTAGGCTTTTTCTTGATTAATGATTGATATAGCAGGGCCCAGTTTACTGAGTGTCGTGCCACCCCTGGGCAGGTGATTTTGAGTTGTATAAAAAAAGCAAGTTGAGCAAACTTTTAGGAGCAAGCTAGCAAACAGTGTTCCTCTGTGGTCTCTGCTTCAGTTCCTTTGTCCAAATTTCTTCGAGTTCCTGCCTTGACTTCCCTCAATAGACTGTGGCACAAGGTATGTAAGCCAAATAAACCCTTTCCTTCCCAAGTTGCTTTTAGTCATGAATTTTTATGATAGCAATAGAAATTGTAATTTAGACAGATGGGTTTCTTAAAACATGGGATTTTCAGTGGGAAAACCACCAAAGTCCTAAACAAACTCAAAAAGCTGGTTAAATTCACCTGGAAAGGATGTTACCTTAAAAGGCTAGCAAGCACCTTCTAATAATCACAATAGTAACTG